CCCCCCCCCCCCCCCGCCCCCTTCTATCCCTCTATTTTCTTTTTCTCTTCTACGCCTTCTCTCGCCATATATATATATATATGTGTGTGTGTATGTATATCTCAGACATGTATCTATTTCTCTCTCGAGGAAGAGATTGTGCTTCTTTTTTTCGAAACACAAGAGAGAGCCATTTTACTGACGGCCAAAACAATAGCCCCCGTCGATAGAGAAGAAGAAGACAGCAATGGTCGTGGTAGACAGGGGGCATCCAAACACCAGGCCATCATGTCAATGGACATGGACACTTGGCAGGACATCATCGACACGTTTGACCTGGCAGATGAGGAACCCATGATTGAGCACAGGAGGGAGGCGAAGAGCGATGGTCCTGGCGCAAGGGGATGGTACAGCTAGGTGGCATGTCTGATGCGTACCACTGGAAGTACCGATAGGTAACTGTATAGATACGTGACGACTTATGACGGTTTGTGAGGCAATCATCTGTACCTCTTTTCCTCTCCTTTGGTTGACCCCTCGATGGGACAAAGAAAAATACCGTGCGACGCACTGTCCTCGTACCCAACCGGGGCTTACACAGCCCGAACAAGGAAGACGTCGGACTTTCACTTTCTATTGTGCTCTCATTCATGTAGACACCACAATACCAACACCCTTGTCAAGGCCGATATGCGAGCCGTGGTGGGTACAAATTTAGAAAGGTCAAGTTGATGCTGATGCTTCTTTGTTCTTTTCTAGCCTTTTATCGCGTGGGTGCCGGGGGTGATTTGGGGTCAATGAATATGTATACAATAATGCGGGTATGTCTCGTAGAAAAAGATTGAAAGAATCAAACAAACGAAAGGGAAGAAAAAAGGCAAAACAAAAGAAGAAGAAGAAGAAGAAGAAAACAGAGAGTTTACAAGTTCTGGTCTGCGCCGCTGCGGAACTCGACTCGGTAGATCACAGGCTCGACCCGACATCAGACCATCAGACTTCACCAGACCCAGACTCAACGATGGCAGAACACAGCAAGAAACTCCGACGACCGCCGAAGCGTCACAGGAAACATGCCCAAAAGCCAAAGCGCACCAGCACGGAAGTCGCTGCCGCGGTCGCAAAGAAGAAGGAGAAGCGCCTCAGCACCGCATCCGCCGTATCAGCTGCATCCTCGATAATGACGGCGGGCAATTGCACGGACGCCGACAAGCTGTACGCCTGGCTGGGGCGCAAGACGGGCGTGACGTACGAGAGCCATACGTCGTCGCAGGCGCAGCTGAAGCGGGAGAAGCAGGAGCGATACGAGCAAAAGGGAGAGCTGATCCGCCAGGTCGAGCAGCTCCGGGCGTCGGACGACCAGGACGAGCGCGCCAGGATCGGGGATGACCTGGTGGAGAGGATCGCGCGGCTCGTCGACGGGGCCGTCGCCTCGTCGGCCAGGGAGGCGGCGCGGACGCTGTCGGTGCTGGACGGCGTCAAGGCATTCCGGCGAGACCGCCACCAGTACAAGAGGATGCTGCAGAGGAACCTGGAGCTCGAGTCGAGGATGAACTACATGGAGCAGGGGCTCAGGGCCGGCGGCGGCGACGATGATTCGGACCTCGCCGGGCGTGGCCGCGCCGGGTCCGACAGGCCCGGTTCCGTAGACAGGCAGCTCATGCACGTCAACCTCAAGAGCCTCAGGAGGGTGAGCGAGGCCGAGGACGGTTACCTGGCCGTCTACAGCCAGGGATACGAGGAGGGGTACAAGGGCGGTATGGAGGACGGCACCGCCAAGGCGGACAGGGAGATGGAGCGCAGAGAGAGGGTGGCCAGGATCCTCGGTCCGAAGGATAGGGGCACGCAGACAGACCGGCCCCGGCCCCGGCCCCCCACGGCTCCGCCCGCCTCTCGGCCCTCGCGAGAGAGTCACGTGTCTTCTCCTTCCGACCGGATGTCCGACCCCGAACTCGAGGTCAGACCACTGAGTCTACGATCCTCTACAGGACGGGACCCGGCCACAGGAGCCTCTGGCACCGACGACATCAACGACGGTATGAGCGACCTGGGCCACGGTGCGCTCCTCACACCCATCGGGCCCCCTCCCGCTATGGATGTTGATGTCCGCAGCAGCCGCCGCCGCCGTGGTGAACCCCAGGAGTTTCCCGAGCCTCCGTCGCCGCAGGACACGGTGCCATCGCCTCCCTGGGATGACTCTGATGAGGGGGACAGAGATGCGCTGCACTCTAGTACCACCATCACGAATGGCCATCCAACTGCTTACGGCGCACAAGGCTACAGCAACAGCAACAGCAACAACGAGGAAGATGGGGAGGGGGAGGGTGGCTCTTGCGACCCGTCCATCGACGTTGTAACAGGTCGGTTTTCAAGGAGGACAGTCACGTTCGAACCTAGACCACTACGTCTGAGAAGTATAAAGAGCGGCAGCAACGACAACGCGAGCAGCAGCAGCAGGCGTGATCCTCCACCTCATACCCCGTCTATCACGACGAACATCGCATCGCTACGCGACTCCTTTCTCGGGGCCGTGCCGAGTCTGGTGGTGCGGAGGATGGCACTCCATTGCCTGCTCATCCTCGGCCTGATGTACGTGGCGTACAAGGAGAGAGCGGTGCAGAAGGAGAAGGATATATGGCTGGAGGCTAATGGGCTGACGAGACGGCATCTGCTCGACCACGTCTACGAGGAGGGACGGCAGCTGGAGCAGTTGGGGCTGGATGCGTGGGGAAGTTCTGGGAATGCGACACTGTCGTCGTCGTCGTCGGCTTGGAGGTTTACCGAGGTATTGCATGTGGACATTTCGGGTTGGAGGTTGCCAGAAGTGGATGTCGGTGATATCGTCATGTGGCCTTGGAATATGGTGATGGCTTTTCTTTCTAGCAAGTAGACAAGGGGACTAACTAGTTTGATGATTTTTTCTTTCCTCTTCTTTTCTTTCCCCTCTGCTTCTCAGTTCTCTCCAGTATCATAGTCAAGTATATTTTTACCGTCCGGCAATGAATGGGTTTTCCCTACTACTAGGCCAGACTCGTCACCTCGGCCAACTTGCTGATTGTTCGTAGGGTGTTGGTTAGATGCGAGGGCCGACTAGAGGATCGATCGTCGCTCTACTCGTACACATGCAGAGGGTAAAATGCCGTCATCCTCTGCGGATCACTTTCTGGCTAGCAAGGATCGATGGTATGATGCCTCTTGTATCTACCGAGTCTCCGTGTGACCAGGCGTGCAGACCTGTAGGCGACGTGTCAGGTTTCCACGCTGGCCGCTGTCAAGCACGACTAGCATCACGAAACCGACGATATGATATCGACGCCCGCGCCCTACCTAGACACACAAATACGAGAGTGGTCAGACACTCGTGCGACGGATCGATGCATGAGAGAATGGCAGAGTGAGGAGTATCAAACGAAGAATCTGGGAGGCCGAGAAAGAGCCAATGCCAACCATGGCGCCGTTCCCTTTGCGGCTTCCGGTCCTGCCATACATCGTGTGCGAGTGTACGCGGCCCACGATCAGGAGGGGCCTGCGCGCCTTCGACCTCGTCACCTTGAGACTACCTCCCGTCTCTCCAGACGCTATAGCCTCCGCTCCGTCCCCCACCGTCTCGGGAGAGCACCGCTGGAGGAGGAGGGGGGGGACGCTCAACATTGGGCCGCACCTACGAAGTCTTTTTTGGTTTTTTTTTTTTTTTTTTCTGGCCAGTACCGGCTCATCGACCTCTGTACGCAGCCCAACGGTCGTCCCAAGGCGGGGTTTTGGTCAAGATCGATCTTCCCCGACACCGGCTGCTGCGCGAGAGGAACTACGGCGGCAGCGGAAGCGTGCGCGAGATTGCGCATGGCTCCGGGGCACGGGGGACCCTGGTGTCGGCGAGCTATCTGCGGACCAGCCCTTGAGATGGCTTGGCACTCACCTCTACCCGTACGAGGGACTGGCCTCGGATGATGGCTCTAGCCATATGAGCGGTGAGGCGGTAGGCCCAGCACAAGATGCAGGGACGTCTGGACGAGCCGCTGACCGGGACCGTCGGGGCGGTTGCCGCTTGACGAAAGCGAATGGGCGGCATTGATGGTAGCCTGCGTCGGGCCTCGGCCCTGCTGACAGTCGTCATTCTAGCATTCTCGGAGTCGTGTGTTTTGACATGCAACATGTAATCGGCCAGTGACGAAGATGTCGGTTAGATGTGGGGGGTATGTACGGGTACGGTACTCGGTTGCAATCGTGTTATATATATAGAAGCATATATATATATATATTATCTATCATCAGCATTATCAGAGTCAAGAGATATCCGACACTGAACGACTATCTGTACGTCACTAATCTGTACGTAGCGATTTACAGTAACGGACGGAGAGGGGGTTTGGAATCCGGGATGATACTCGTACACAGTGGGACTCCCGGCGAGACCGAAAGTACGGTGGCGCACAGGCAACAACCGAGATGTTTATTCTTTCTCTACGAATCTAATCTATGATACTGCTATACACATTTGTTAAGTAGTATTATAGCTTATAAGTGCATATGATATGTGTATGTGTATGTGTGTATATGTGTATGTGTGTATGTGTGTATGTGTGTATGTGTGTATATTATGCGTATATTATGCGTATATTATGCGTATATCATGTGTACATCATGCGTATATTGTGCGTATATTATGCGTATATTGTGCGTATATTGTGCGTATATGGTGCGTATATCTATCTGTATATGTGTAGATATAATGCTCTGTAGCTCAGCTAGTCTTTACTGTCACGGCAGGGGATCTATGGAAGCATTCATGGATGATAGGGCTCAGTCTCACCGCTGTAATACTGACGACAGAAAAAAGACTAGGATGTGAGGTGCCCGCTGCGCTCACACACACACACACACACACACACACACATATATATATATATATATATATTATATATACATACAAACTCGTGTCAAATGTGTCAATATACATGGCCAGCACGGCAGAGTCGACAGAACTCCACTACATGTACACGTAGACGGGTCTGTGAGTGTGAGTCTGTGACGATAAAAAGCTGGTCCTTGGTTAGTCTTGGGAGTATATAGCGCTTAGTTTACTGGAGTCTAGTACGAGGGTCTACAGAGTATCATCACATGTCCAATATATTAAATAAATAAATATATATATATATATATATAATATATATATACAGGCAGGGATCATCATTGTAGAAATAAAAGGTTCGATGATACCGCGTACGGTACAGATTACGTGTACCAAAGATCCTTGATAGGCCGGGGCATTTGAGCCTTACCTGTACCGTTGCACGTATGTAGTCATTGACGTTTAAAAGCGGGAGCACCAGACATTTGGAAGAGGTGGCATGGTTCGGTCATTTCGATCGTTGCTGTGCCGTTTCAAGTGTGTGCAGAGGTGACGGAAGAGCTGGACGGGAAGAGCATAGGAGCTTCTCGTATGGATTCGTCATCTGCGACCGAGGCCAAGTCTCATCGTCCATCTCTTCTCACCTGCCCCCCCTCCCCCCCCCTTCCTCCGATAATACATATAAGGCACTGCCACTGCCTCGACCCCTTCTCCTTGCCAATGCCATCAGTGCTACGTAAGAGTTCATACGCTAGACGATGCTAGGCTTCCCCAGATCTCGCCATAGATTCTTCTCCACCACCGACACCATCATACGATTACCATCGACTTCGAGGGCCAACTCTCATCTACCATCCAGACGGCCTCCCTGTCTGCCTCGCTCGCATCACACATCATTGTGACGCCTACCGTCATCGTCATCGCCACCTCGGACGAACTCGTCGTCCACCACCACCACCACCGCCACCACCAACACCATGTCTTCCCAACTCATTCCGTCTGATCCGGCCCAGGTCATGGTGATCCGCAACGTCACGCCCAACATCGTCACTTTCTCCGTGCCGTTTGCGCGCTTCGGACGGATCAAGGTTGGAGGTCGAGGGACCCTAGGTAAGGGGAGCGGCTGCGCAGTCGACACATCACCCCCCTCCTCGCCCGTCCGTCGCATTGATCCTGACACTGTCCCGTGAAATGACGCAGTCAAGATGACCAGCGGCGACCTGGCCGTCTTCTCGCCCGTCGCACTGACCGGAGAGGCCAAGGCCAAGGTCGCCTCCCTGGGCGGCACGCTGCGCTACATCGTCGCCCTCGACTTTGAGCATCACATCTTCATATCAGAGTGGGCCGAGGCCTACCCCGAGGCCAAGATCGTCGGCCCCGAGGGCCTTCCCGAGAAGCGCGCGGCCCAGCACGCCACCGACCCCAAGATCGGCGACGAAGAGTTCAGCGTCATCTTCACGCGCGAGGGGAAGCGGGACGTCAGCGTCGGGCCCGACTTCGACCAGGACTTTGACTACGAGTACGTCGACGGCCACGCCAACCTGGAGATCGTCGTCTGCTACCGACCCGACCGCACCCTCATCGAGGCCGACCTGCTGTTCAACCTGCCCGCCAAGGAGCAGTACAGCCGCGTCCCCGAGGGGGCCCTCCCGAGTTCCGGGCTGCTCGGCCGCGTCTTCGAGGGCGCCCAGTCGCCTTCCCTCACGGGGAACAATACCTGGGTCAAGAGGTTTTCGTGGTACATGGTTGCCAAGGACAGGGACAGCCTGAACGAGAGCATTGCGCGCATAGCCGGGTGGGACTTTGAGAAGCTGATTCCTTGCCACGGGGATGTCGTCGAGGAGAGGGCCAAAGAGCTGTATAGCAAGGTGTTTGAGTGGCATCTGAAGGCTGTCAAGAAGTGATGGTGATGATGATGATGGTGATGATGATGATGAAAAGAAGAAGAAGAGGAGGAGGAGGAGGAGAGCATCGGGACGTGATGCTTGTCAGGAGTTTTGGAGTGTCGTGTTCAATGGGGTGGTCTCTGCTTGGCGGTGCCACTCACCCTCCCTCGGCGTCGGAGAAGGATGGTGGAAATAGATGTTGTCAGATACATCAAGCAATGATGAGGGTACATTTCAGATGAGGGGAACGATCACGGTTTGGCAAGACTTGGAGAATGTCTGATTGATGGATGAAGAGACTTTCTTAGCAAGATGTAGATGTACCTGGATTCGCACAAGATAGTATTACAGAGAGAAAAAAGGAAATATTTACAATATTTATTCTCAAATGAAAACAAGATGGGATAAAATAAAGGGAGAAGGAGAAGGAGAAGGAGAAGAGAGAAATGTCAAGATTGATAGAGATAAAATCGTCAGTGACGTGTGGCGGGGGAGCTCCAGGCCCCAGTTACCCAGCTGCAGGCGGCGGCTGGCCACTGAGCGGCTGGCCACTAGACCTACATCACCACACACACCCACCATCGGCTCCCACCCTCTGATACTCGAACAATCATACACCCCGCATGGCACGCAGCCTCTCACTCTCGCCCCCCCCCCCCCCCCCCCCCCCCCCCCCCCCCCCCCCCCCCCCCCATCCCCCCTCCTCCTCCAGCCCCGTGCAATGACATGAGATATGTCGACCTACGGGAAGATGGACCCCTACTCCTTCGCAGGGTCTAGGGATGTTGACCACCCCGTCAGCATCCGGATGTACGCCCTCTCCCTCCCATCACATCCGCTGCCCTTCACCCCCAGCCCAACACCCCCCCGGGCCAACCCCCCCGGCTAGCCATCATGCTGACCTGACCGCGTCGCGCCCGGCAGAATGAACCTCGAAGGAGATGAGCCTCCTCTGAAATACTCTACGCTGCTGAGCCGACCTGACCTGCGCCACGTCGGCTCCAACACAGGGTGAGCGGCCGCCGCGACCTCCTCCCTCCTGACCGTGAACGCGTCCCGAGGCTGACAAGGAGACCGCCAGTCCCAGCTCGGACCTCTTCGTCACAGTCCAGGTATGGGCCGGATCGAAGCCCTTGACCGTACCTGTTCAGACTGCCTACCGACCGTTCCGATCCGAGAGAAGGTGCGCGCATAGCCACGACCCCCGGCACGGCCCGCCAGCTGACTGCAGTGTAGATGGAACGAATGGCTACAGCTGCCCATCACATACCAGGCTCTCCCCGCCGACGCCTGCCTCGCCGTGACGATATGGGACCTGTCGCCTACGGGGGGGGAGGATGCCGTCGGCCACGCCATACCCTTTGGCGGCACCACGCTCCCCATGTTTGACCAGGAGAACCAGGTCCAGAGGGGCCGGCAGAAGTGCCTGGTCCACCGCCGCAAGAGGGCCGACGGCATGGGCGTCACCACAACCCCGGCCCTCGTGCCGGCCTGCAGGAGGAGCCACGATGGAGGATCGGCCGGCAAGGGCGGCCGCGCTGCGGCCCCGCTGGACAGGGATGCCGAGGAGCTGGACCGCATGGAGAGGCTGTTCAAGAAGCACGAGCTCGGCGAGATCCCCCGCGTCGACTGGCTGGATCAGATGGTCTTCCGCGACTTCGAGAGGCGGGGGCTGCAGGCCGCCAAGTCGTCCATGACCATGATGCAGCGGCAGCGGGCCTTGGACGGCGCAGGTACCGCCGGGGGCGCCGACGAGGCAGGCGACAGCGCCCCGGCAGCCACGACCTTCCTCCTCAACGTGGAACTGCCGCGGTTCGACCTCCCCCTCGTCTTCGCCGACCACGAGTACCCGGCCCCTCCGATCTCCACGCTCCAGAACCTGACGGGTTCGCAGCCCGGCATGGCGGCCCAGAGACAGCAGCAGTCTCAGCAGCCGCAGGTGCAGTTTGGCCCGGGTATCAACGGCGTCGAGGACGGGACCGAGGGTCTGGGCAACCGGCTGATCAAGGTGTACGACCCGGACGCCGGCATGCGCGACAACCCGGCCGAGGCCAAGCACAGGAGGCTGTTCCGCAGCTCGCACCGCCACGGCATCCTGGACAAGGACCTGAAGCCGAACGCCAAGGTGCGCGACGAGCTGAACCAGATCCTGTCGTGCTCGCCCACGCACGTCCTGACGCCCGAGGAGTCCGACCTGGTGTGGAAGTTCCGCTACCACCTGACGCGGGATAAGCGGGCGCTGACAAAGTTTGTCAAGTCGGTCAACTGGGCCGACGCGAGCGAGTCCAAGCAGGCGACGCAGGTCATCGGGCGGTGGACCGAGATCGACGTCGACGACGCGCTCGAGCTGCTGGGCCCGTCGTTCGACAACGCCAGCGTACGGTCCTACGCCGTAGACCGCCTGCGCAAGTCCGAAGACGACGAGCTCCTGCTGTACCTGCTGCAGCTGGTCCAGGCCCTCAAGTACGAGCGCGTGCCGGCCGATCCGGAGCGCGACGTGGCGCAGGACTCCTCGCTCGCGCGCTTCCTCATCCAGCGCGCGGCTGCCAACTTTCTGCTGGGCAACTACTTCTACTGGTACCTCATGGTCGAGTGCGACGACCACGACCACGCCCCCGCCCCCGCCACCGCGCACCTGCACGGCGCCGGCGACGACCAGCCGCGCGACATCTTCCGCAAGGTGGCCTACGAGTTCGTCGTCGAGCTGGAGAGGCGGCCCGGCGGGGCTCAGGACAGGCGCATGCTCCTCCGGCAAGCCGAGATGTTTGCCGTCCTGTCCCGGATAGCCAACCAGGTCAAGGCCTCGTCCGAGTCGATGGCGAAGAAGGCCGAGCGCGTCAAGCACTTCATCGCCGACCCGGCCAACGAGCTGCTGTCGTTCGAGCCGCCGCTGGCGATGCCGCTCGACCCGTCGGTGTCGGTGACGGGCATGGTGCCGGACCAGATCACCGTCTTCAAGTCGACGCTCAACCCCATCAAGTTCACCTTCAAGACGACGACGGGCACGGCGTACCCCGTCATCTTCAAGCTGGGCGACGACATGCGGCAGGACCAGCTGGTGATCCAGATCATCACGCTCATGGACCAGCTGCTGCAGAAGGAGAACCTGGACCTGCGGCTGACGCCCTACAAGATCCTGGCGACCAGCACGTCGGCCGGCGCCCTGCAGTTCGTCCAGTCGCAGAGCCTGTCCAGCATCGTCAGCACGCACAAGGCCAACCCGGCGCTGGCCTACCTGCGGCGGCACAACCCGGACGACGACAACCAGGCGGCCGGCGGCGTCCGGCAGGAGGCGCTGGACACGTACGTCCGCTCCTGCGCGGGCTACTGCGTGATAACGTACATACTCGGGGTGGGCGACCGGCACCTGGAGAACCTGCTGCTCGCCCCGGACGGGCACTTCTTCCACGCCGACTTCGGCTTCATACTGGGCAGGGACCCGAAGCCGTTCGCGCCCGTCATGAAGCTGTCCAAGGAGATGGTGGACTGCATGGGCGGCGTCCAGTCGGAGCACTACGCCCAGTTCCGACAGTACTGCTTCCTCGCCTACACGGCCCTGCGCAAGTCGTCCAACCTCATCCTCAACCTGTTCAGCCTCATGGTCGACGCCAACATCCCGGATATACGGCTCGAACCCGACAAGGCGGTGCTCAAGGTCAGGGAGAGGTTCCACCTCGAGCTCAGCGAGGAGGATGCCATACTGTACTTTGGCCGGGTGATTGACGATACGCTCTCGGCTTATGCGCCTGTCGTCCTTGACAAGCTGCACGAGTGGGCTCAGGCATTCAGGGCGTAATGGTTTTTTTGGGAGGGGGTTTTTTTCCCCACCACTTTTCCTCTTGATGGCGTCGGTGGCAGTTTAGAGCGTTTGATTTTTGGCTCTTTTGAAAACACAATATACTACTACTACTACTACTACTACTAAACCAGAGCAAATGTGACGATACATTCTTCTTTCCTCAACAGTGTATTATGCAAGAAAAACAAGAAAGAATATGACGAAGAAGAGGGGGGCGGAAGGATAAAATAAGAGAAGAGAGAGGAGGGGGGGGAGGGAAAAAAAAAAGATGAATTGCTTTGTCTAAGTCTCACCAAACACAAAGATGCCCTTCCCTTTACGGTACCCCTCGAGACCCTGCTGAACAGCACCCCTCAGCGACTCGAGATCTGTATCCCAATCCCACCTGATCTCGTCGACGGGCACATCTCTGAACTTGTTGGCGCGCACGAGATCGAGGATATCGTTGACCATGTGCCGGCGACCGACGGGGTCACGCTCGTTCCACCTGGTGAGCCAGAAGCCGGTGAAGCGGATGTCCTTGAAGATGAGCAGGCCGACCGGCAGGGAGACGGGCTGCTTGGACATGCCGCCGTACGAGACCATGGTGGCGCCGTCGCCGAGGGACCTGGCGACCGAGGTGGCGGACTTGCCGCCGACGCAGTTGAGGCCGAGGCCGACGTGCTCGCGGCCGCCGCGGGTGATGTCGGCCAGGCGGTCGCGCCAGCCGCGCGAGAGGAACTGCGACTCGGGGACGACGACGTCGGCGCCCAGGTCGGTGAGCTCGCGCACGAGGGCGTCGGTGGCCTCGGGGGTGTCGCGGTCGCGGACGACGTTGATGCTGCGCAGGCCCCAGAGGCGGGCGAGCTGGATGGCGGCGCGGCCGACGCCCGAGTTGGCCCCGTTCTGGATGAACCACTGGCCGCTGCCGACCTCGAGGGGCCGCATGCCCAGGCCGGGCCCGGGCCCGGCGCTGGGACCGTACGACCGCAGGATGCGGTACGCCGTGCACGGGTTCACGCTCACCGTCGCCGCCTGCAGGGGCGTCAGGCCCGTCTTGTCCACCCGGATCAGCCTGGAGGCCTCGACCACGGCGTGCGTGCGCCACGTGCCCAGCTGGGTCGCCCCCGGTATCACCCAGTCGCCCTTGGAGAGCCCGGTGTCGGCGCCGCCGGTCGAGACCACCTCCAGGACGCCCTCGTTTCCGGGGAGGGCCGACGGCTCGGCCGTGCCGATCAGGGACGTGAAGGCCGGCTTGGCGCCGTACGTGCCCTGGACGGTGTTGATGTCGGCCGGATTGATGGGCGCCGCGAGGGTGCGCACCAGGACGGAGGAGGATGGTAGGCTGGGCGAGATGGAGTGCTTGTGTAGCCTGGATTGGACCGGTCAACTCTCTTCTTCCGGGCATCCGGGTGAGAGAGAGTAAGAGGGAGGGAGAGGGAGAGGGAGAGGGAGAGGGAGAGGGAGAGAGCGCGGCATGGTAGAGACGAAGGAGGTCGGAATCTTACTGAAGAACGTCACCTGGCTCGCCGTATTTGGAGAAGACGAGGGCCTTGGCCTGGGTGTAGCCGTATGGTCCTGACATGTGGCGCACTGATCCGAGACGCGCCCTGATCGCAGAGGCGGCGCAGGCCACGGGGCGCACGGCACTCAGACATTGAGTGATGGCCATCTCTTCCGTGAGCGATGTCGTATCTTTCTTCTTCTGCCCCTCTCCCTGTACGTGCGTGCGTGCGTGCGTGTTGTGTGAAGCTGGCAAGGTGGCGGGTGGGGGATGATGATGCATACGGGGGAAGGGAAGAGAGAGAGAGCTACATGTAACCTGTACTGGCGGAAAAGTTGGAGCTTCGGCAAAGCTGCGTCTCTATGACGTTGTTCGGTTATGTGATTCGTTATCTTATCGGTCGCACCCTTGGTTCACCGCGCAACTTGGGAGGGTTTGGAGAGGCCTATTTGGGTGTTGGGCATGTTTGGGATATTCCGTAATGCTTTTTTTTTTTTTTTCATGTTATCTATCAACCTGAGCCGAGCTCAATAAGACGTTTCTTCAACATGCATCGGACACGGTGACTGCCGTGATAGTTAGTGGTGGTGGTGAGATGGCGGACGTCTGCGCCGTTGGTGTGAGTCGAGAAGAGTAAAGACTCGTCTCGGATGCTATGAGTCTTATGTATGAGAAGCATGAATATAGCAAGCATCGCCAGTGAAGATGTTCTATAGGTTCACCAAGTCGAATAGTATGTAGATGTAGGAAGATGTCAACGGTATTACCTGCCGACACGATGCCGTAAGCCTTCTTCCCCCTCCAACGTCATGTATAGGGTAAGTCGGTCTGAGAGGAGAAGAGAAGAAAGATAAAAGATATAAAAAAAAGAAAAAAAGAAAATCAAGCCACTCGACACCATACGGAGGGGTCGATACTTGTACAAGTAGGAGGCGAGTATCACGACAATCATAACTCATAATCTTATAGGGCTCATTATATTCTCATCATAATGGTGGCCAGTGCCACGCCTATCAGAAGAAGAAGAAAGGCGTCACGAGTCCTACTACGACGTACGGGTAATGATACATGTCTCCAGTGCAATGCTACCATATTACTCGGCAGATGTCATGGAGATGATTTACAGCATCATCTCCGCCAACATCATCGAGTATGCTTCACGCCATGCTGATTCCGCCATACGCCACGTCAACTCCTGAGGCTCAGGATGGACGGGTAAACTAGCTACAGGTACGGCACCGATGCATACAATCGACACCAGAGTGCCAGGTGGCGTTGGAGAGGAGAAGTCCGACGCCTGTGCAGTACATATACACGTACTGTTCATCTGCACAGATTACCGACTCAGGAGGCATGAGTATGAGCACGACGTATTACATGTAGGTAGGCATGACGGAGGACGGAGACCATGGCGTGGGGCGTTTCTTTTTCTCTCTCTCGCCCTCGAGCCCTCCTGGATCTGTGAGACGTGTCGTATTCAATGTGCGGGCCGGAGCCTGACGACATCTTCCCATCCCAATCTTACTCCCACGAGGTGTCCGGGTAGCAGATTCCTCTCCGGCTGTCCGCCTCCCATCTCATCGTGGTCAGGCTCCCCCGAGGCCAGAGCCGGACGGCATATCAGCTCGCGGATCTCGCGGGGGTTCAGTCCAAGCGACCGATGCGGCGTATCGTGTGCGGTATCATACGGTGCGTTGCAATCCGTAGTCGTGGTGACTCTTCGGCGGGCATACCGTGCAGACGATTGCGATACTCACTCCGTAGAGCACCTGAACGGTAATAGTACCGGTACCGTCTCACGAGCGATGCAGAGTTGGTGGTGGCGGTACACCGGGGAGCCAGGAGCCGGGAGCCAGGAGCCGGGAGCCAGGAGCCAGGAGCCAGGAGCCAGGAGCCAGGAGCCAGGAGCCAGGAACGAGCCACCGTTCCTAGTTCCCTCATTGCGCGAGCAACATACGCCGTACGGGTAATGGTTCACAGGTCGCGCATCGGACAACACAGAGGGACAGTGCTGTCGGCTCTACGGATACTCGTAGCTGCGATAGCTCGCGAGGACATCTACGGGAGTGATACAGGAGATACATCAGGGTGCCCGTATATTACGGCGTGTCGAATCATCTGGTATGGCGTACCCGTCACGGTACGGACATGGACCGTACGGCGGACGCTGCGATAGATGCCAAGAAGAGGACCCCAGCGGCCGGCACAGGGCCCTGAAGCTAACGCTCTCTCGGCTCTAGCGCAGGTGGCCGTCATTTGGGCTTGGTCTTAGCAGCACACGGCAGCAGCTAGTAGCCAGCAGGTTCTCATGTTCTCTCCTTGTTTAAAATTGCATGTAGATACTTTTTTTTTCTTTCCATTTTTCCATTTTTTTCCATTTTTAATTTTTCTTCTCGGAAGTTTCATCTTGTTATACTTGTACGGTATAATGCTTTTTACGAATATGCGGATGCCACGGAGTCATGATGATGATGATGACGATGACACGTGCGTGACACGTGACTGTAAAGCCTGCATTCGGCTGCGGTTGTTCGGTGAGTAGAGAAGGAAGGAACCGGAGTTCTCTCCTTCCCTCCATTATACGTATATAATCTGTACACATATATATATATATATACATATATACACATGTAATCTGTACTCATATACAGGCCGATGCTACGCGTACGAGTATTGTATTACGATACTCGTATGTAATGCTCCTCGTACTGAGCTGTAGGCCTCATTTTGGCACACGACAGGGAAAGAGCAGCAAGGCAACCCTGGGGGAGGAGCTACGGAGCACGGAGCACGGAGTATAATTATCACTCACGGGCTGTAATACTGTGCTGGGGACCCTGGCAGCCTTTATTTCAGGACAGAGTGTACTCGTAGAATGACTTCTTTCAGCTTCTCCTCCCCCCCCCCCCCCCCCCCCCCCCTTACCCTCCCCCCCCCCCCCCCCCCTCCTCTCGCCTCCTTACAGACCATACAGACCGTGTACAGACCACGTACATATACGCAGACATCTGTACCGGCATGACACTTTGACGTATCCACCGAGTACGAATCATCCGCTTCCAGACACTGTACGTGTGCGAGTCCCTGCCAGCGCCCAGCGGGACACCCAGCGGGACACCCAGCGGGCACACCCACCTGTCACCCCAGGGCCCAACCTCCCCTTCTCCACCCGGGCTCTTCCCCTTCAGAGGGGACTCTGTCGACCGACAGTGGGTGGATACAGCAGACAGAGAGAGGGACACAGCAGATGGAGGTCATCCCATCACCCATCACCGTCCCTCAACTGCCATCTCGTCTATTGCTAGACTGATACTTTTGCTGCTCTCTCACCTCTCTCTCTCTCTCTCTCTCCCCTCTCTGCTATCTCGACATCGATCTAGCAGAAGCCAAGCAATACCCTCTCATTTTCTGCTGCGGAAACTAGCAGCCCTAGTTCCTCCACCAACGCCATCTTTCTACTCGTACGAGTACAGACTGCGAGTACCGAGTACTGCGCGCGAGTACGGTACCATTCATTACGAGTACCACGTATGAGTACATGTGTACAGGGTACACCACACACACCATCCACGAGCCTCTCCGCCCCCTATCCATCGTCTACGAGAGTACCTACCTGTACGCCGTAATAATACAGTCTGCCTGCTCCGTATATTACTCTACTCCATACCACATACCACATCCTACGACGACAGCGACCCCCCCGCCTCATCATCTCGCCTTCCACAGCATATCCGGCCCTAGCACACTTGCAAGACTAGGGTCTTTGCGCTTCATCCAGCTCCGTAATCATAACGGCCAGCTAGACCATTTACAATTCACTCTTGGCCTTGATTGCCCTCCTTCGAGAGCTCCATTTTTCCCCTGGTCCAGGCCTCGCCTCCACCCACGCCCCCCCCCCCCTCCTCCAATTGTCCATCTCCTATCCGGTTGTGGTCAGGCTCCCCCATCAGCATCTTTCTCTGCCGGGGTCGTTCGCCATCTATCGACTCTTGGGTCTCGTCTCCTCCTTCTTCCTCTCCTCATTCCTTGCATGAAAGTGCACCCCCCCCTCCGAATTCGCCTGAACCAATCGACCTTGAAGGCGCCCGACGTCGCTCCTCGGCTCACACGCGCCTACCTCGGTGTCCCCTGAGCCCTCCTCACTTGCGATTGCCTGCCGCCCACGAGTCTTCCATACCCAGCCTTGTCTCCGGGGGCTCTCTGCAAGACGGCCTACCGTCCGTCATGTCTGCCGCACGCCTCAACAACGGCACGAGGTCTCGTTTCGAGCTGCCCGCCTTGAACCTCGACCTGGGCAGCATCACCGACGGCACCGACATCCCGCCGCCCCCCAAGTCTCCCGTGGAGCAGCCCAAGCCTCCCGCGGAGCAGTCCAAGCCTCCCGCGGAGCAGCCCAAGCCAGCTCCGACCGAGAAGAGCGCCGACGGCGCGCCGCAGAAGCAGTCGTCTTCCAAGGAGTCTACACCCGAGGCCGGCGAGACGAAAGTCAGCGCTGCTACGACAAAGTCAGCAGACAGCGGGCGAAATGGTAATCTTGCAGCAGGAACTAAGCGTCCCGCAGATGACGTGCCCCCGAGCCCGACCGTCTCGCAGTCGAATCGGCAGGGCAGCATCCGCCGTCTCTTGAGTAGAACAACGTTGAGTAACAATTATACAGAGGCATCCCTGTCCACCAGCAACGGATCCGCCGCCGCCGCCGCCGCCGCCCTCGCCGCCAATGGGAGCAACAGGCCCTCGAGCCGCAGCGGCGCCTCATCGGTGGACGAGCGCAAGTCGAAGCGCAGCAGCGGTTGGTTCCGCCGGTTAAGGGGTGGCGACACTGGCAGCGACAGCGCCAGCACCAAGGCCAGCAAGCGGTCCAGCCTCATGTTCGAGCACAAGCAGGTATCGAGCGCGACCGTCAACAAGCCGGCGGGCCCACCCCCGCCCATGATTCCCGAGCTGAAAGAGCTCGAAAAGGACGAGGGCAGCCTGGGTGGTGACTTGTTTAGAAATATCAAGTAACACGCATCCGTGGCAGAAGAGCGTTGGCGGGGAAGGAAGAGAGACGACGAGGAGACGCTCGCGTTTCCCGTCATCTCCCCCCTCCTTGTGCTACCCTCCTCACTACATCCTACATCCCCCTCCTCTTCACACCCATCCAGTCTGCTACTTGTGTGGTTCACCTATGCATGCGGTTCTGCTTCTTAATAACTTTTCTTTTCTTTTCTTTTCATCTTCTTGCACTCCTTTGCCGCCAAAAATCTATTTATTTCCCCCCCCAAAAAATTTCTTTCATCATCTAAACAACATCCACCTTGATCAACCCCTCATTTCTCCTTAATCCAGTCTACCTACAACCCTTTCCTGTCCAGGAACCGACGAAACAAACGAATATACCCCACTCGAGCCGATCCAGCGTCCGAGACATACCGACCAGCGATTGGATCCCGGATCCTCTCTATTTTCTTCACCTTGTTTTGCCATTTCGAAACATGCTTAAGGGGGAGGGATAGCCGACATGCACGACAAGAAACACAGGCTGACCATCGGGAATATGCACGGCACAGCTGGGCAGAGAAAGGGAAAGAAAGCGAACCAAGAACGAAATTAATGAAAGAGAAGGAGAAGAGAGAGAGAAGACGAAAAAAAAGAAACCCAGTGGTGGATTTTGAACGTTGAGATGCAGCGGGCCGGCCATATGGGGCCATGCGAATCGAGATACCCAGCCCTTTTCAGACCCATGGGGGCCTCATTCATATCTGAGAATGAATGTTTTTTTTTTTTTTAATCCGGGTTTTTCTGGCGTGTTTTTCTGTTCCTCCCCTAGTTTGTTCTCCTTCCTCCCTCTGGCCACGCATCTTGTCCAGGCTGCTACAGACACGTCGGGTGAGATGCGTAGTCTCTAAAAAGCTGTCCTTCCTTCCTACTCTGCTACCATCTCATGTATGTATCCAAATACCTATTCCCCATCAATCACTACACACGCAAACGTGGGCATTTCCATCTTCTCTGTATCTGTGTCTTTCCTTCTTCGCTCTTTACGTTTCGAATCAAGGTCAAGAAAATGGAGGCCATCGAAAGAAGATCAGGGCGCGGTGCAGCAGCAGAGGGGGGGGCCTTCAAGAATTCCTCATGACATCTCGTGCATCTTCAACATCAGTATCGACGTCCCATCAGAGGGCGAAGACCCGAGCCGTCTCAAGCCTCGGTACCCTCCTCCCTCAACCTCTCATACAGCTTCTCCTCGGCGGCGACATAGCCCTCGAGAGTACCGCTCCCGGCCGGCGGTGGAGGCGCGTTGAACTCTGGAACGACGCGCGTACCGTTAGCCTTGGTGCACTCGTAGATTGTGCCGCTGCCCAGGTTCTCGTCTACGACCAGGTCGTACATCGCGCTGGCTATCTCTTCGGGCTCGCTGAAGTCGATCGATTCGTCTACCATGGATGCCTTCGAGGGGTCTTCGGACCACATTGGGGTCTGGTGGTCAGGTGTACGTCAGCACCCGACGACGACGATACCGAGGTCAAGAGCGGAAGAAGGGGGGCGGGAGACGATGAGTGACTGACCCTAACGGCACCCGGAGCCACGCAGCCGGACCGAATGCCGAGCTCTCCCTTCAAAGCAGCCAGCGACCTGACAAAGCCGTGCAGACCATGCTTACTGGCGAAGTACAGAGGGGTGCCGAGACCGGATGTGTAACCGGCCTGGCTGCCGACGTGGACGAGGCATCCCGGCCGGCGACTCCGCGTCCAGTGGGAGATGGCCAGCTGACTGAGGCGCACGGGAGCGGTGAGGTTGACGTCGAGCACGGCGTAGCCGTTGGGGTCCGGACCCGTAGGCTTCTCCCAGAAGGAAGCCCACGTGGGCTCTTCAAGGCCGGCGCTCGCGGCCACAATGTCCAGGCTGGGGAGGGAGGTGGTGGCCCGCGTGAACGTGGCGTCCAGCTGGGACCAAGACGTCACGTCCGTCTCGTGGAAGATGGCTTGGGGTTTCGAAGACGCCCCGTCGGTGACGGCGGAGGAGGAAGATGGCGCATATTCGTCCAGGAGGGTCTGCGTCTCCGGTCGGAGCGTCTTGTCGGCGAGGATGACGGAGCAGCCCTTTGCCAGGAGGAGGCGGGCAAAGGCCAGACCGATGCCTGGAGGTAGGTATGCGTCAGCTGTCCTGTATGTGTGTGTGTGTGTGTGTGTGTGTGTTTGCTGAGGATGGAACGGTAGTGGTTTCTTACCTGAGCCTGCGCCGGTGACTATGGCTCCTCTTCCAGCTACAGACATGGCCATACCGCCTGCAAGCTTGGGAATGTGTCAAGAATAAGAGAGAGAGAGAGAGAGAGAGAGAGAGAGAAGAGAAAGATGAGGAAAGCCGAAGAAGGGAACCGAAAGGCCCACGGGAAGGGGGAAGGGGGAGAAGAGAGGATAAAGAATGAAGGACGAGGATAATGCTACTACTGACAGTAATCTCTACCAGACTAGTACTATGCTGTCGAGCCCGTAGCCAATGGCGATACCGAGAGCAATGGAAAAAGAAAAGAAAAGAAAAAGAAGAGAGATATCGCGGATGTTGTCTTCCCGTGGGGGCGGGAACGACGCTATCGACTGCATGGTCTGAATCCAAGGGAGATGTCATCTCTCCTCGCTCTCCTTCCCCACTCGGGGGTCAAGTACGCGCACACATGTCTCTCGACGGAGAAGAGAACTTCAGAACTCAGGGATATAGATGATGAGTTAGGTAGAGGACAGCAAGATGCTTGCGAGCGACGGCGGGAAGTCTGGCCTCTCGGCGAGAGTCGCTTGCAAGGAGGGAGGGACGAGGCCTATCCGGTATTCTAGTTGGTCTCTCGTACGGCGGATGGTGTCGTGGCATTTGGCGATCTTGTATTGCTATTACCCGGGTGGCGAAATGGTGGAAAGTAGCGGTATGATGGATGATGATATGAGGATGTTTCTATTCATTTATTCATCTACATGTGTAGAATACACGCACACATCATCGGCTCGTAAGTTGTGATGATGCGGCAACGGGATATACATGTAAGGAGGAGAGAGATCGAGTAAGAGAAGAGCAAGAGGACGAAGACAAGATTTGGCCGGGTTTTCGTGCGTATGATGATTGTATAACACTGTCAAGGGCCATCATATGTCATGCATGCATATATATTATATGCGTATATGTATATACACATAACATGTCAGCTTTGTAGGACGTGACGGGGGACTCCGGGGGGAGTTGTCATTCAAACATCCATACGTGGTGTAATAATATGTAATAATATGACTCCCTCATCACACGACGTGTATACAAGTCCATGTACGGCTCGCTTCCCCCCGTCGTTTTTTTTTCTTTTCTTTTTTCTTTTCATCTCTGCACACTCAGAGACGCATGCTGCCGCCGCTGCCGCTGCCGTGGTCCCGGCTCCGGTG